ATTTAGTTTTCTCTATATTGAGTGAAAGCTTGTTATTTTTGAACCAATTGATTATACTTTTTATTTCAGTATTTGCCCTCAAGTAAAGATTGTCTAAGTTGTCATCTTCTAGGGAAATATTTGTGTCATCTGCAAAAATTACTAATTTTATCATATTGGAAACATTAAATATATCATTTATATACAAAGTGAAAAGGACTGGTCCTAAAACAGACCCTTGAGGGACGCCACAGTGTAAAAAATGTTCGTCATCGGAATATGAGCCTGATATGAAAGTTTTCAATGGTCGATTCTTTAAGTAACTTTTAAACCAATTTAACACTGCTCCACGAAAGCCTAAAAGTTCAAGTTTATTTAATAATATCTTATGATCAATCGTATCGAAAGCTTTTGAGAGGTCCAAATACAATCCTAAAATATGTTTATTATTATCCATTGAAAACCGAATTTGTTCCAGAAAAGTTAAGAGAGCCATGTATCAGAAAACATTGGAAAATGAAATAACTCATGAGAAAGGTAAGCGATTTGCGTCAAAATAAGATAAGAAAGGGTGATTTTTAGCGAATTAAAATTTTTTCAAAAACATCGATGTTTTGTAAAAGAGAACCCCCGATAAGGAGAGCTTTTTAGAAGGACATTGCTTTTTTATTCTGGAAGTGATCATCATGGAAATTTGACACCTTTTTAGAAATGAGGTGAATTTTGACATCCTGAAATATTATATTTGGATGATTAAAACTTCCGTTTCTAGAACGTTTTTTGTAAAACGATGAAATTCAATGTTCTATTTTGACCGTTACTTTCGATAAAGTGCAATACGTTTCCTTCAACTGTACATGCGAAATAAAATATGTCTAAGAAGGATTGTGATGCAAAGTCTTAGTTTCGTAAAGGAATTGAGGGGCGCGGTACCAGAAGTATGCTTAAAGAATTTTCTAAGAAGTTGTTCCACTATGGTCGTCATTCTCATTAGAAGAGTCTCGGAATTTTATACAAGTCATAGATAGAGGGCGTTTCACAGATCAAATAAGTTCATCTTTGGATAAAACTTGGTCATTTTTGAAAATCATTCAAATGCCCAAAATTAGATGTCTCTCCTGGACAATCAGTAATGTCACAGTAAAAGATTATCCTGTGCTATTTTGGTTTCAGGTACATAACAGCTGGATATAGAACTGATGTCTTAGAGGAGTGGGACACATATATCTCCCGCTGTATATTCCCCGGAAATGTTTTTTGTTCAGTGTTGAAATAGTAAAGACTGTCCGAATATCTTGCTATAGAATGAATGCAGCAGACGTAGAATATTTCATTGCCAAATGTTTATGAATTTTTCGAAAATAATGAAAATGAGAACACTGAAATCTTCACTTATGAAACCGAATGCTCGTTTTTGAATATGGGGTATACCCCTAGGGAAATATGATATCCTTTATCATATTTCCCGAGGGATATACCCCATATACAAAACCTCCAGTGACATAACCCTTATGCATTGTGGTTAAAAAATAAATAATGAGAGTCAGCGTCGGGATTTGAACACGAACCTTTCAGAAAATTAAAGGGAAGACAAATTCCAACGCGCTATTATATGCGCCAAACGATCATTGTATTATGATTTATGTCTTTAACTATTCACGTTTGAATTAGGTACACGATTGAAAAGCGTATGAAGTCTACATTTTTCAAATCAAAGAATTCGAGCGTTCCTACTTTAACCTCAAGACTGTTGGCATCAGGCTTCTTATCTTAGCAATTCAACCAGTTGTTAGAGTAGATAGTCCAGGGTGTAAAGCAAAACTAGAGCGTTCTCAAATCTAGTAGAAACATATAGTTATTCAATACATACAAACATCGATTGGAAGTTGTATCTTTCTTCTTTGAAAAAGTATATTTCAAGATAAATTAATTATTTATTTTGATATATTTATTTATAAAATTAACGTTGGCACATGTTTTATTATCCAATGCGTCGACATGCATTGTATAAAATATGAATGAAATAAAAAAAATCATAAATAATTTCTTGAAAACAACGTTACATACAAATAATCATAATCATGATTTTCGGGGCTGGTACAATTTGGTTAAAAAGCGTTTCAAATAATATAAAATAGTCTTGCCCCATTATCACTCGGGATCAGCTCGATTACGCTGATGACCGTTTCGGTAACATAATGTCGGAACCTCGAAGGAACGATTTTTATTTTTTCCTTATTCCACGCGTTGTTGGCAAAATTCCCATGATATTTTTATAAAAAACGTGCGTCAGTATCATATGTTTAAAAAATGTACATGTTTGCGAACAGATAGTTAGTTCAGAGGACAACAGAACCATGATTCAATACCTCATTTAAGTTACTTAAACGGGATGGGTTAGATATGCAGATCCGTTTACGTAACTTAAGTGGTGTTTTAAATCGACGATTCTGTAGTCTTCTGAACTAATTGTTCGCAAAGGTGTACATTTTCTTAAAGACACACATTTTTTATAAAAATATCATGGGAATTTTGCCTACAACGCCTGGAATAGGAAAAAAGAAAACTCGACCTTCGAGCCTGCGATATTTTGTTGCAAGCGTAATCGAGCGGATCACCAGTTATATGAAAAAATCTCATCGCGAGCATTAATGTCAAGTCGTCAGTTAGATTAATAGAAATATAACGTTGAGAACATTAAACGCATCGTTGAGAAATCAAACATATATACTTCAATAATAATTGACGATTTATAAATAACATTGCAAACAAATGTAGATTATAACTTACATGATGTATAAAGTCATACAACGATTTCCATAAAACAAAAGAATAGATAAAATAACCTATACTTTGGCTTGAGGCGCGTATGATGCTTATCATACATATTGTAGAAAGTGGTATTCGAAGACATCCCTGGGGGGGATCTCACATATGTACACGTGGTTCTGATAAGACAGACGAATGAGCCAAGTAGCCTCCTTGATAGAAAAGGGTTGATGAAGCAACGGACTCCCAACCAATCGACCATACTTGGACTAATAGCGAAAAGCTTGACTCCAAGACGAACATTTTGGTTGTGGAACATTTAAATCTAAAATATCTCAAGTGCTCCACTGTTGAATGCATGTTAGCATACATGTATATATAAGAAAAAACTATGAGCTTTGTTTAGAACACTAGGAGCAGACGCTCATATTGTATTAACATTTTTGAATCTTAGATAGCTTTCGCGAATTCAACTACCAGCCGCTGTCGGATCAACCTCCTATTGTATGACTCATTTGACATTTCAAATGAGTCGAAACAGTTTGTTACGCCGTCATCTGATAGGTAGCATTTTACTGTGACATGCTAGTGCTAGGTAAAATATGGATTCAAAGTGATTCACAATTCTCCTTTAAATATTTGGAAAGAGGGTTAGCATATAATAACTTGATCAGAGAAGTTAAAAAAGAATATTCATTTTACATATTAAGTCAGAAAAGCCATTTTTCGGTATGTTAGAATTAACCTGTTCATAATGGTGCAGAATTATGGTCCACCAAGTAATGGTTGTAACATACGTCGTATTTATTTGTCAGATGCAGTGTAAAGGTAACAGATATGTAATTAGGTCCCTATCAAAACCAAGAGAGGGAGGACCCTTAGGGTTATTATAGTACACGATCCTGTACAAGTTCCCTTTAAATACGTGAACTTGATAATAAGGCAGCTTTATGGTAATACTCTTTATCGTATGATCTGTAGAATGAAGCCTTCTGATTGGTCAGTTTTTGTGCTGTACCAATCTGTATTGTTACTGAGATTGTCAGCATTGATCATCTCCGTCGCAATACAGAAAACATTGGTACGGAGGGGACATTCTCAGATGCAATACAGATGATCACACGATAAAAACGTTATAGAATGATTTGAAGTGCAATACAGGATATATTCTGTCTCGATATTCTGTATTGGCA